TGTATTTTTGATAAATACAGTAAAAAAATGTAGCCATGATGAGCATCTCTAAGACTAAGCAAGCTGGTCTTCAGCTATTAAATCTGGTTTCACATACTAACCAGCTAAAAAGTGCCCCAAACCCCCATAAATATGTGAATACTCTAAACGTATATATGTCAAAGTACATAGTACCTTTGCTGAAAAGGCGGTCTTAACTGTTCTTACCCAAATCCCCTCTACAACGATGTTTGTATGTACTGTATATTTAATAAATAACTATTGTTATCTTCATACAAAAATAGATGGGATTTGGTCAGTATGGTAATGATGAACATAACCACTCAGACTGCACAAACACAAAGTGCAATTAAACTTTAAGTGCACTTGGGGTCTGTTTACATTAGTGACTTGATCAGACTGCTGCATGCACATTACATTTATAGCTACTCAACCACATTTGCAGATATAAACTCATGTTCACATCTGCTGATGCCTCATGGCTCATTTATAATCTGCAGTTGAAGTTCTACAGCACCTTAACGCCATGCAGCATTTTAGATCTGCACATGTTTACAGAACTTTTTGTTGTATTTTAAACAGTTCAACCAATCATTTGCTGACCCTCAAGTTGTTCCAAAGTCCTTCAGTGTTCTTATGGGGCTTTTCTGATGCAACTTCAGGAAACCAACAAGGTGTGTGGAAAGACAAATACTTGATGAACACAAAAACAATAAAGTATAGATTTCTTCCATGCGTCATATTTGATCCTTTCATTTCCCTCCTTTCACAACTTGTGCTGGGTTTGTTTTTGTGTTCATAAAGTGTTCCAGTATAACCGTAAGCTCTTAATGGAACAAAACCGATTTACAGTCGGTTACGAGATGCATTTCCCCATTTATTTCTCCATTGAAGAAAAAAACATTTGGGTTTGGAACGACATGAGGGTGAGTAAATGACGACAGAATTGTTTTATTTGTGAGTTAGTCCTCTAACTGATAATTCTGTAAACAGTGTAATTGCAAAATGTATTTTTTCCAGACAAAAAGCACAATTCTCTGCCTCATCAGACACAGTGTTTGGTTATTAAATCGTTTCAGGGGAACAATGGAAATAGTATGTTGCTATTGTTTATGATTCACTGCCCCAGCAACGCCGAGCATTATTCACTAGTCAAAGACACTCAATCAAAACTTCATAGCAGATAAAGGCTATCTCTCCATCACAGTCAGGACCAAAAGTATAAGAATAACTTTATTCCTCAAGAATAAAGTGTTTTATTGTGAAGCGTTTTCTAATGGAAGCCCTTTATTTTCAGCAAAGTCCTCTTATTTGTAAGTCTACTTTCTGAAATGATTTGCCTTTGATATCTTGTGGTTTTGAAGGATACTAAACTAGAGCACTAGTCAAAGACACTCAATCAAAACTTCATAGCAGATAAAGGCTATCTCTCCATCACAGTCAGGACCAAAAGTATAAGTTTTATTGTGAAGCGTTTTCTAATGGAAGCCCTTTATTTTCAGCAAAGTCCTCTTATTTGTAAGTCTACAGGTGTGACCATGACCTGAGGATATTTCTCTGCTGGTGGTCTTTAGACAGGAGGAATATCCGTTGTTGTAAGAGGTTTTAGAGAGGTATACAGGATTACTGAGCAGGTTTGGGCTTAGAGCTCTCTATAACCCTTATGTGTGTTCAGTCTGCAGGTCTCCTTCAAGCCGCAGAGCTTTGAAGCTTTTACAGTGGTCCTGGTCCTGCAGTGAGGTTCAAAGCACAGCCCTCTCTCTCCTCTGCCTCCTTCGTTACTCTGCTTCTTCAGTCCTCCTCTCACCCACTCATTCTATCATTAATAACTGGGTATGACTCATGTGATGCAGGGCCTTTGAATAATGAATAAGCTTTCCTCAATAGGAAATTCCATCCTATTGTCTTGAGCGCTTGAAACAAAGGTGGAGATGAAAGGACAATGTTTCTGTGGGTAAATCTGAACTGGATTCAGCCTAGTTTGTCAGAAGAGATAGAAGAAAATCTGACATTAACAAAATTGGAAGAGCTTTAACTTCAATCCATTTTTGGAGTAGTTTAGTGGCATTGTATTTTACATACTTTATTGCCTAAACTAAACTAAACTAAACTAAACTAAATTAAATTAAATTAAATTAAATTAAATTAAATTAAATTAAATTAAGTTAAGTTAAGTTAAGTTAAGTTCAGTTAAGTTAAGTTAAGTTAAGTTAAGTTAATTGAATTACATTTTAAATAAAATTTTACTTTTCCCGTCGTCGGTCGAAATATGCACTGATTTGTTTTATTCTGATTTCAGTAAGTAAAACATTGCAAATTCAGTTATAAATATGTGTCATTTTAACAGTTGGTGGGTGAATGTAAAAATGCTAATTGGATATCCTTGAGTTCATACCATAAACACTGAAAATAGTTTTGATTTTAATGGTGAATACTGTAAAATACTGAAAATATATGTAAACAAAATTTTACATATTTTACCATATAATTAATTATAAAGTTAATATATATATTTATAATGATACATATTATTATATTTATTATTATTTATTTATATTCATGAATATTCATTAATATTATTAATAAGTTACCATATAATTAATAAGTAAATATAATATTTATTTATAGTAATAAATGATGCAGTTTTTCAATTAATAAAAAAAATTTTTTTTAATTTAAATTAAAAAAAATTTTTTATTTTAACAGTTGGTTGGTGAATATAAAATGCTAATTGGTTAAGATTGAGTACCATAAAAAAATAATTTTGATCGTAAATAAAATACTGTAAATATATGTAAACAAAATTGTTAGTTACCATATAATTTACAATTCAAATGTATATTATATTTAACAAAATAATACATAAACCTTTACAGTAAAATATTGTTAAAGTGGTTTATTTTATAAAATAAAAGTTACCTCATATAATGTGCAGAGGAAATGTTCACAGAAGTAACACATCACATTTGTTTTACAGTGTTTGGTTTCAGTTTATTGGATTATTTTAGTGTTACCCATACCTAATGGTGTTTTGTGTTGGCGTGGGTATAACTGTGCTGTCTCTACATATTTCAGCCACCGTTCTTGTCCATGACCTACTTTAGTTGTTCAAAATTGGTTGGTATATTAACATTAGTATGTCAGTTACCGAAATATGTGGATATGAGTTGTCTGAAACAGTGTTACTGTATTTCTTACAGTACATTTCTGGCAACTGCAGCTGCTGTGTGCTATGTAGGACACTGCAGATAATAACTGGATTAATAAAACCTAAAAATAAAATATCTATAATATTTTCATGCCTCATGTCTTTGGAAAACCACTGTACCCTTTGCGGGTGAGTCAGAATGTAGGGCGTTAAAATATTCGAAGTGATGCTTGCAAAACAAAGTGAAAAAGAAACAAAGAGACTTAAAGAGAGCCACAAAATGATGGCCTAGTTCAACATCTGACAGTATGAATCATCATGTGCCCTACTTCTATGCTGGATCCGTCTGCGAATCTGTCCTTTCCCCTCTGGGCTTCTTGTACACTGAGGACTCAACAGGGTTTCTGTCCCACTCACGACCTCAAAACAAAACAAAGCAAAAATATGAATGAAGTGAAAGGTTGATTGATCGTTTTGTGGAATTTGGTGACAATTATGTGAGTTATTTAAGATCACGTTTTCTCCAGCTTGGCTGTGAGAGCAGTTTCAGGTGTCAAGACACATGAAAACGTGACCCTTAAACAATGAGAACAATGAAATTAGGTTAATCGTAGCCGTAAAGGCACCTGACAATGTACAGGTCAGGCATTAGTGCATTTGACAGGTCACAGTAAAATGATATTAGACTGTGATCAGATTTCATTTCACGTTTCGATACTAGTATTGCAGTAGTGACACCCAAAAATCCCCTTTATTGAATGAATTTGCATGACCCACTTTAGTTAGGCGCCAATTTTCAGCATATAGATGACTTTTAAATATGTATTTTCTACCTTTACTACCTTTTACACACACCTCTGGCACTTTTTTAAGTGTGCATAATAGTTTTAATTCAAATGCAAAAGGCCCAAATGCTATTTTCAGGCAATCTAATTCCATTTCCATTGCAGATGTCATGATTTTATGCTACTAAGTAAGAATCCACTCGAGAGGACAGTGATTTGTTCTTGTACCAGCAGCCTTTATTCAAATGAAGCATGCATTAATGGATGAATCACAAATATACATCTACTTTAAAGAGCTCAGCCTGCCATAGAAATGATAAAGATACAAAGTGCAGAGCCAAGAACAAAACTTCAGATCTAAAAATCAACGCTTTGCTGCACTCTCCTTCGGCCACTCTCATTCGAAATTGCTTTAATTTCCATTTCTTTATTTATGAAGTTGGACATTCAGAAGGAATCTATAATACTCTGCTATTGCTTCAAAAGTGTTGATTTAAAAGTTATGTTTCATTGTAAATGCAGGGATGTGTTGGGCTGTGCACGAGTAGTCTTTATATGGGGGTGTCAAAATTTCATGAGAGTTAAGGAGAAAGAGTAGTATTTAATAAATAACACATATAACATTTTAGAAGGTGTTAGGGACTGTCTCAGGGAGCTCCAAACCCTCCACACACATACAGATTGATTTCCTTTTTGTGTTTTACAGGTACCACAGCGTGCGCTCATTGGGATTGGATTCATTTGATGGGTCAATACTTTCATTTTTAATGCACTTCAATTCGAAAATACAAAATTACAGAGAATTTACATTGCCTTATATATAAACCTTTTTTATACATAAGCTTTTAAGATGTATTCCCAGATCCAAGCTACACTTAAACACAAGTTTAAGGTGCAGAGCTGATATTGTGCACTGTTGCTCTTCTAAACCACATCATGCTATGATTATTCACCAAGAAGCACTATAGGAAAGATCAAGATGTCCAAAACAGTTCTACGCTGAGCCCTGCTCAGCCCTCCAGCGGTGAGAGATCGTCCCGGCGGGGACCAGCAGTCCTCTCTTGGAGCAGGAACAGGGTGTCTCATCTCACCGGGGCATTTTTGAAGGTGCGTTGTGCCAGTGTCTCTTGTAGAAAACTGCTCCCATTGCTATGGTCATGATGCAGGCGAATGCCAGGATGCCCACAGCCACGCCGAGACCCACAGAGGAGTCTGAAGGTTTTTTCGTGCTGATTGTGACTTCTGCAAAACAAGGACATGTGAGGTTAGCATTACAAACAAAAGGAGCTAACTACAATACTGTTACTACTTTTATTCAGCAATAAATGAGTCTAAAATGACATTAATAGTGTTACAAAAGATTTCAAAAAATATTCTTCTTTTGAACTTTATATTCATCAAAGAATCCTGAAATAAAATATATCATGGTTTCCTCAAAAATATTAAGCAGCACAATTGTTTTCAACATTAATTTAATAAGAAATGTGTCTTGAGCAGCAAATCAGAATGATTTCTGAAAGATCATGTGACACTGAAGACTTGAGTAATGACTGCTGAAAATTCATAATTTTTTCAGAAAATAATAAAATTCAGAAAGTAATTCTTTGGCTGAAAAATAACTTGCAACAGCAACAAAAACTAGAAAGCAATGTCAAAAACAGTGATAGACAGCAGTGCTTGCTGAATGTTTATCTGTAAATAGATACATAATGCCTCACAGAGTCTCGAGCTGATTAATTGATCTAGTTCATTTAGATGATTCATCTGAACAAACTAATTCACTAAAATGAATCAAACTTTCAAAGTGCTACATATGAACATTCTACAAGAGTGTTTGATTAACTTAGTATTTAGTTAAATTAGTTAACATTGCTACATTCAATAAATGATCCCCCCAAACACTGGAAAATGTGAAGAGAATCTGGACAAGTATTACATGCATCACATGTCAAACAGTTTAAGCTCACCTTCCTCTTTTGTTGCCACCACTGAAATGAAATAAACAGAATAAAGTCAGTTTCTCAGATCTGGAAAGAAATGTAAATAACTTAAAACTCAGTAGTGCTGGTGATTAATTCATATTAATTCATTCAGTTTGTTTTCACGAAGGGGAAGGAATGTACCGTTTTCTGCGCGTATGACGATGGCTGGTGATGTGATGGTGGTGGTTTCTGTGACACCATTTGGAGAAGGAGTGGTGGTCAAAGGCACAACATCTCTCCTTTTTCGTTTGCCACATTGCTGTGGAAAGAGCCATGGTGAGTCTTGGGCAATGTCTTGGCCAATGTTTGTCTCTGGGTAGTTGAACTGTATGTATGTGTTGCTATTTTTGTTTAGACCCCTTCAAATGCCCCCCAAATAGCAAAGCTTGACATAACCACTATATATGGACACTGACAAGAAAAAACCCAACCCACCCATCCCAATCCAAAAGGTGTTTCTATTTTGCTTAGGCTTAGCTTATATAAATTAAAATTGACTAATTCAAGAACAAATGATGTGAAAGGGAAGTATAGAGCTCCGGACGTCACGTGACCCATTCTGTTTACACCACCATGCTGGCAGGCAGGGACAGCCGGGAGCGAATATGAAATGAATGGCGCCAGCATAAGTTTCAAGGCAACAGAGTTCACTGTGTACTTTAATTCAAAAGACATAGACCTGTGCATAGCAAAACTATGCAGATTAAGCATAACAGATCCCTATAATGCCCCCGTGGTGCTTTTAACGTGTAGCCTATCAATAAAGGAACGGATAGATTTCCTGACCTGCAGTATCCTGATATCTACAACTAACGTACCTAATCAACATTCCCCCCTAACGTTACTCCGGAGACTCTTTAAAAGCCTACAAAAGTCTGGAGGGGTACAAATGGATGCAATCTAATTTTTTGATGAATATTCAACCTGCTATGTCGTCACTGGAAGGGTAAGTCAACTGTGTTGTTAGCTAAAGGTAATCGACCCTAGCTGTCCTTGTAGGTAGCCAGCATAGCTATATCACTGTGAGTACAGTAGACATCATAAATGTCATGAAATCTTACCCGTTTAATCCCAAAGTTTGTGTTGGTTAGCATGTTTTAATTCAGTGAACCATTTTAGTCGTCTATCGGGATCCTTAGGAATACGATAAAATGATTTCACCTTTGCTTTATGGGACAATCCCATATGTATATATATATATATATATATATATGTGTATATATGTATATATGTGTGTGTGTGAAAATGCGTATTTTTGAATTAAAGATAACTTATAACTTTCGGGTAGATTGCATGTTTTCTTGCACGGCAGGATGTTGGACTCATGAAAAATAATCACGTAGTTTGTAATTGCCAAAACTGATTTACTGAAGTCAAAACACGGACGGAATTGGCGGTAGCACGAGCGCCGCTTAATTGTGAAGCGGGAGCGACCAGCCGGCTGAGGATTCTGCAGCCTTCCTCAAACAGTTATGTTCAAGATTTTCTGATTTACTTAACGAATACTGTGTGAGGGGCAAGAAACGGGCCAAGGGAGGTCACGTGCGGGACACATAAATTAAGCCCAATATACGGGTAATCCGGCTAATACGGGACGGTTGGCAACCCTAGCTTTCCCCTGCCTGTTCTGGCATCCTGGCGCACAGCAGCTGTCCACCATGTTGAAATAGTAAGGTTTGTAAGGTCTAAATATAGTCTGGTTTTAAATGATTGTTGTACAACTGTCGATACCAATGCTTTAGCGCTCTCCTGATTGCCTGCCAAAATGGTGGAGTTTAGAGTGTGTGACGTCAACCTCCGGAGCTCTATATGTTGTATGGCTTTACCCTAAATGTACTGCAGGTTGATATTTCACACAGTCTTGTGATGCAGTGCAGATAGTATGTAGATACTGTCTGGTTCTGCTGCTCTGTAAAGCGGAAGGCCGGAAACGAGAACCGAGCAAGCTGCATCTCCCCATTCACCAGCATTTTAGTGAGCCAATCACTGCCGCAGCTGATCAAACAAATTATCAAACAACAAATTATTCTCTCATCTTATAAACATTGTGCAGTGGTATTATGACATAACTATAGTAACCGTGAAGACCATAGTATAGATCAAAGTACCATAGTACTGCCACAGTAGTTTTTTAAGGGTTAACATACAAAAATATATCTATATAAATTATTATAAATAATATGATGATGAATAATACTAATTTTATGATTAAACTTACGGCACAAAGAGGTTGAAGAAGTTTCTGGTGGTGGGTGTAGTGGAAATGGAGGCGTAGCATCTGTCCAGCAACACAAAGTACCTGTGAAATACATAATAATTGTCAACTTAAATGCAAAATTGATTAATTTACTGCCATGATGAAACTCATTGAAACAGGTCTTACTGGGAGGTCAAGTTGGTGGCCTCCACTTGCACAAACACATTTGTCCTCAGCTCAATACCGAGGGGAGGCATGGTGAGAGGCTCTGTGTAGTTTATGTCCTGAGAAATGAAAAGATGTTCAGATAAAAGAATATAAAGTATATGTCTCTAGCTGATCTGATCAATAGATGCATGGAGATTTAGGGACTGACTTTAAAGAGTCTGAGACTCAGAGTGCTGATGAAACTGCCATTGTTGTCTTTTACTGCAATCGAGGAGGCCGACCTGTGAGAAGACAGAACGAGGTTAAAGTTTACCTGAAAAAGCCCACAATCACTCAATGTGGACAACCCCGAGACTAGACGTGTGTATATGTGTCATTGTATCTCTCTGTTGTGAATATAATTTCATCTTCCTGTCCTTTGAGGACAACAACGAGGATGAACCAATTGGATTTAACATGTTCTTAGAGAGCGATACTACACCAAGACACTTATTCCCCAGTGAGTTTTGTTCTTTTATCCTTAGTAAATCTTAGATCTTAGACCGGGTATGCTATAACATGACAGAAAATGAGCGCTTACACATCCACCCGAGTGTTGTTGATCAGGTACTCCAGAGGATAGGCGCATGAGTAGTAGTACTTCAGCTCAGCGTTATACGTCACAGTGCCTGTTGTGATGTCTTTCGATTGTACAATTCCACTGATGTTGACCGTCTCGATATTGGAGAAGTCCGAGAATACTCCTGTCCCTATGCTCCTTATTGTCTGTGGAGAAAAGTTAGGAATTCATTGTATTTAAAGCCATAAAAACAGACTGACCCTTTAGTTTTGACTTTGAATAATAAGTTAAGTTATATGATTTTTGAGGTATCACTTTACTTTGATTTATAGCTATTACTCACAACAAAGTTGCTGCCGCAGGCATTGGTTGAGTTAAGCGGGAACCTAAATCGGGCCATGGGAGGTAAGACTGTAGTATCGAGGGTCGCCCTGCAATCTGGGTTATTCATGACTTTGTTGAGGATTAACTCTGATTCGTTGTAGCCGGTGTACATGACAGGACAGAATTTGATAGCCACATTGATGTACTCCGTTCCACAGTCTACAGAGATGTCTGTATACTCTGTCGTGACAAGAACGACAGAATTAGTTACGCAAAAACCAGTATAAAGTCTTACTTAAAGCAAAAAAAACAAACACTGAATCGAATAAAGGTTTTGTTAATCAAATTGGACAGAATTACAAGCTTGAAAACACCCGCAGACATATATCAAAATAAGCCAATTCAAATAATTCTGATATTTTTACGATGTAAACAAGCAATTCATTCTTGTGTGATTCAGTCAGAAATGAAAACTATACCTGGACGTCTGTATTCTGATCCGCAGTCACTCAACGCTAACTGAAAGCTTTTGTCTAATTTTGTAGCTAGGAGTAAGAGGAAGATGTTGAGGAGAAATTCTTTTCTGCTGTTTGCTGAACGTGAACCTGTTCATGGAAGAAAATACACCATATTCAAAATCAGTTAGTCACCATTGGTACATCCCGGGAGCTCGGCGCATATCCCACAGTTACACGTCCTAGGACACGTACGCACCTTGGATCATGCTTGCGGTTGGTTTAGGTATCCTCTGCCTGTGAGATCTTGTGAACTGTGGTGTCCTTTTATAGAGCGCTTTTTTTTGTGGAATGGGAGTGAAATAAGGTCAGAGAGGTTTGGTGTATCCACTGTTTGGGACCAGCCCTTTTGTGAATAAAGTCCCGTAGTTGACAGCCTGAAGGCACTTGCTGAAACTCTACACAACGTGGGCCTTCAAAGACAGGCAGGTGACAATGGCCTGTTTTTTTTGTCTACTTAAACATGGATACCCTTGGCATCTTAATACAAGACCTCAAGGAGTAAGTGTCGTGCCTCCGGGGAGTAGAGACAATACAGCAATGGCTCTTTCACCTTAGTTTAACACTGTACGAAATGTCAGGAACCCTAGCAACACAAAAAATAAGGATGATAATGCAAACACACATGATTTACCAAAAGGGAGTCTTAAGCATGTGACTGTTTTGATGGAAAAACCTGACAGGGATAGACAGCTGAGTAAATAGTTTGGTGTTGTTTATTTCTGTTTTCCGTGGATTGTCAGTCTCCATGGTAACATTGTTTTCTTTGGACAAGGTGTTCCCCGAAAACCATATATGACTGTTTTAGCCATTGTTGTCTAATTTCTTCAAAATGCTAAAGGAAACTACTCTTGACATAACAGTTGAAATATACGGAATATTACATTAACAAAACCTGACACTGTAGAAGGGTTTTCAGGGTTTGTCATGGCAGATACATTAAATAAATATTAATAATTGTAATAAATTAAGTTATATGATGAAAAACAATAACAATAAGAACTATTTGAAGTAATACTTATTAGATAGATCTGTCTGCCTGTCTGCCTTTCTATCTATCTATCTATCTATCTATCTATCTATCTCATAAAATATGTGTATTTTGTGTTTTTGTAAGTTAATTTTTCATACAGGTATGTTGACAAAACTGTTGCAACAAGTTACATAAGAATGATTTGGCTAGAAACTACTAGAAAAATAATTCTGTCTGTGTTTCATAAATTAAGCCCACTGGGCATTATTGGATAACCAATTAAATGGATCAGAAATCAGACAACATGATTACAAGGGTGAGTAAAGCATTCATTAAGCACATCACAGTGCACTCCTGGGCTTTGTTTTGACTATCATCCCTTCACAGTAATATCTCAATCGAGTCTTGAGTCACTTACTGTGTGTAGTTTGGTTGATAGCTTGACACCCAAAAAAAGATACAAACACAAATAATACCAGATGTTCCCAATTAATGCGTATTTAGTCACTTAACGCTTATACACCAACCATACTCATTCCTGCTTTATTGCAAGTCTGGTTTCTAATTATACATTTTCAGTCAAGTTAGAGATCTCTGATTCTTTATACAGTTGTTCGAGTAAACTAATGCTGTTAACACATATATCAAGAGGTCCAAAAACAGGGCACGTTTGATTGAAGGGCAGCCATTGAGTGTAAACACTGTTAAGTGGTGTGAAAAGGTCAGTGGATTACTCTGTAATGAGAGGGCTCTGCTTTAAGCTGCAAACTAATCACTTTGTTTCAGCGTTTTTTCTTTTCATTCTTAGTGTGATGAGCCACAGATCCAGATAAATCTCAGGTGAATCTGTGGGGAATCACAGATGGGTTTAATAAAGCTTAAGCATGACCCCTGCCCATGTCACACGTCAGCAGTGTGATTCCTTCCTTCCAAACTGATTTCTTATTGGCTATACTTTCACTGTTAGGGTCAAATCATAGGTTAAATGACATGAATATCTTTAAATCATAATTCTCATTTACTGCTATTTCTATTGTATTTTGGAATATTGGAAACTTTTAATTGGCATAACTTTCACTTGTAGCTTCCATTTTAATATAACACAATATAATTTATTTTTCTAGGAAATATGATGTTCATACACACCATTCAGGGTTTAGGGTCAGCATGATTTTTTTTTTTCAAGAAATTTATACATTTGTTCTGCAAGATTGCATTAAATTGATCAAAAGTGACAGTAAAGGCATTTATAATGTTACAACAGATTTTCATTTAAAATAAATGCTGTTCTTTTGAACTGTCTATTCATTAAAGAATCCTGAAAAAAAACTGTATCAGTTTCCATTAGGATGAGAAATATATCTTGAGCACCAAATAAGCATATTTGAATTTTGAAGGATTATAGTATATATAATAAAATAATATATATAATAAAAAATGTAACAAATATATAACAAATTTATATTCATGTAATATATATAATTTATTTTCCATTTAACTAATACTGCTTTCAACACCATTTTGCCATTAGGATTCAGAATAGCACTTTCTGTGTCAAAGTTTTGGCTTGTATGATTTGGGGTTTGTGCTCTCAGGTCACTTCCAAATCAAAAAAACTAATCCTTGTATTCTATGCTGACACTCAACCCTTCTTGATGGCAGATGAGGAGATTTTCAGGAAATTCATGTCAGGAACAAAGGTGGATTTTTATTAAAGAAGGTTATAGTCATATGTCACTATGGAAACCATCCAGCTTTGAAATCAATACTATAATACTCTTACATAAAGCACACTGACACTAATATGGTAAAGTAAAGGTTTCAGAAGGAAATGTCATTATGTTTTGATATATACTATGGTACCTGAATGATTACCATGGTACTGATAATATATATCTTGTTTAGAGTTCAGCTCAACTCAGGAGAGGAGGAATTATTCTCTGAAGGATTGTTTGTTTTTCATATCCAGAGAGGACATTATGTGTCTCATCCCTGCCCTTCTGTACCCAGAATTCTTCAGATTAAATTGAGCCATTCATTTATTCTGCCACAATCCCATTAATATCTGTCCCTGATGTCACAGATAATAAGCCTGGAAGTCTTCAAAGGTCTGATATGGATACATGCTCTTTGTTTAGCTGGCGTCATGGTGGTTACTAAGATTGTGAAGAGCTTTAAAAGCTTGCTTTCTTCAAAAAGACAATAATGGATTGAGATCCCTGTGTGTTTTGTAATTACTACAGGAAAATCTGCAAATAAAATATTCAGACACACATCTGAATTTACTTTATTGTTAAAAATGAGGAAAGAAAAATCTACAAAGTAATACAAATGCGTGTTTGGGGGATAATATCATGGGTTGTTAAATTTAGTTAAATTATCTTCAAATTCAAATATTTTCAATAAAAATATAAAAAATAGCTAACACTGAATATTAGAGTATGTGAAACTAACTGCTAAGACTTATTACTGTTCAGTGGGTATCACTGAGACACATGAATACTAATGAGTAAAAACAAATACAATTAATTAAAACTAAAAATATCTTAAATGGTCTTCTCATCCACCTCAATCACATAGCATAGTGATCTAGGTTGCTGTTCGACTTAATTAAATTTGTTTCCTATGGTCTCTTTCTCAGCTCTTGTAACTCAAACTAATTATTATAGAGAGTAATGTACTCTGAATCACTGGTGTCCCATGATCCTTTGTGCTGTTGTGATGAATAGACTCCTCACTTTCCGTCCTGTAGCCTCTAATATTCTCACTGAACTAGAAATATGTGTTAGGCAGGTCTATTAGATACCTTTGCTTATGTTCTTCATGTAACTGATCTTAAACCCTGCAATAGTAAAGCAAGGGGCTGATGTATGAACTTTAAGCTATGCTGCACCAACAGATCTGGATCAATTGACATTTAAAATTAAATACAAGTAAAAAAAACAGTTTGTTGCTCTGTTGATCAGTTAATTTACAAGTGCAATTAAATAAGTTTGTTAAAAATAAATTCTATTCATGTTTGTGTTACACTGTGTAACTATGATCACTTTCAATATACTGTATTATTTTGGTGGTTCAGGGTTGTTTCTAGACAGAAACAAATTGTGGTGCTGTCATGTAGTGGTGTAACAGTCACGTCTTAAAGTATGAAATAAACAGAGGGATAGTTCACCTAAAAATGAAGCTTCTGAAGATTCCAAACCTGTATGACTTTCTTTCCTTTGCTGAACACAAAAGAAGATATTTTGAAATATATTTCATCTGTTGTTTTCCCCTACAATGGAAGTCAGTGGGGTACAAAACAACAGCATTGGACCCCATTGACTTTCATTTTAAGGATAAAAAACACTAGAAACATTTTGAAAATATCTTCTTAGTTCCACAGAAGAAAGAAAATCATACAAGTTAGGAACGACGTGAAAAATGAAAACTATCCCTTTAAAGCCAGAAATATACTTTACACAAGTACATGAATGCAGACATGAGAACTTTGCCGTTAAACCAGATGTGTTCAGCTAAGTTGCTATCAACACTGACTTTAGCTAGCTTGCTTACCAAGACTGTAGTTAAACTGTCGCTCCGCCATGACAGCAATTGACCTGAAAAAGAAATCTGAGCGTAAAAGCAGATAGTTTTTGATGTAGCTCCACTTGCAGCAATGATGAGAAAAAGCATTTGCGTTGCACAATCTATTGTAGCTAGAAGCGTCTGCCTTCATGTACATGCATAGAGCATGTTCGGGCCTAAAAGTGCACTTGAAAATTTTTGTTTATGTTGGGCGAGTCTTCTTGGACTTATACTGACACCTAGTGGTGTGGATGCAGATTTATGCAAAATCAAATGTTTTCAGTTTTAGAAAGGCATTATCAGCCATGACTAACTTATTTAATTAGTGAAATCATCCAAAAACAAGAGACGTTACAGAGAATATTGTATAATATCGGAATTCCCGTAATTACGAGATTCCAACTTGTAAAAAGCGTTCACGTCCTCGTAGAACTGGTAATTACAACTTGTGAACTGGGAGTTTTCTGAGAGTTACAACTTGTACCACATGACCGCTGTACCACCTGACCACTGCAGGCTCTGTTTAGGCATTGATAGTGTTGCCATAGAAAAGCATAATTCCGAGTCCGAGGACGTGAACAGCTCCGAGTAGAACGTCACGTGCTGTCATCTCGAAATTACGGTAATTACGATATGGCGTGAACGCAGCATTATTCAGCTGGTCATGTGATCTCAACATGGCAGCCCCCCAGATTTGTTTGGTCTACCAGTATGACTAAGAATCTCATGTGAGTGTACATGATTTTGTCAAAATTACATTTATTTATCTGTAAAACATTTTGAGGAAAAAATTACTGAGTGCATCTTTTAATAGCATTATTCCTGATTATTGTGTGTGTGAGAATCATTTCCAATCAGAGTTCAGCCTCTTATGGTTTAGGATTGTGTGTTATGCAAATTTACAGTGATGAGCGTATCTGTATTGATGCTTTGTGACCTAAAATAGGCAGCTGTGTTTAGCTAAAGGCTGTGTAGAGTGATATTATGATATTATTTCCCTGTACTGTATGATTGTGTGTAACCGAAGAGCTCCACACACAGGTATTGTTGTATTGTTTAGCTGACCGAACAGCCGTGTGTGTGCATTTAGCTGAACGCTGGGTTGTGAGTTCCTGACAGAGGTGTTGGTGGCGTATATTTCCCTCTCAGCAGTGACATAGACAGGATGAAGAAACACATGCTCATAACGGCGAGGATAGCGATGGCAGAAATCAAGGCACTCGTCGCTGAATTCATTTTGAATGGAGGGCTGTTTAACTGTGCTGAAACACACACATACACAGAGTGTTAGGAAGACTTCTTACAATATGTAACCCACCGTTCAAACACTATCGTACACTCTTTCTTTCAATCCTCTTGTTCATTTCTTGATAACACCACCTGCTTCTACCCTCTATTAACTTCTCTCTGTCGGAAACCCTCCGACTCATCGTTATTTTGGTCACGGTTTTAAGCAGCTACATCCTTTGAGGAAATCCTTTATATTTTCTGGGAGGAAGTAAAGCATGCTTTTATACTTCATCAGAAACACTACAGTTCTGAGAAAGAAGGATTTAGCTTCCTTTAAAAAGGTCTAAAATGGAGGACAAAGGAAGGCTTACCTAGTTGGGAATTATTGCTGGGAGTTTCATCTGTGGACAGACGAAGATTGTTTTAGTGAAATGAGCACACTTATTGCCTTAAAACGCTAAATCGTGTCTCATATACATAACAGGCTCAATTTGAAAATTGAAAATGAGTGTTGTTGAAATCATGCGCTACAAGTTGAGCTACATAAACACTACATTACAGTTCATATCGTACCACTTCGGGTGACGATGGGCCCGGCAGTCATGACTGCATTGTCAGAAGCCACAGCAGTTCTTTCCGACACATTCCTTTTCTTCCTCTTACCACAGATCTGTCAGGATGATAATATTTGTATTTGAGTAATAAACACAGTTCCAGCTTGAAGTTTATTTGCTTTTAATAACAGAAAATGAAGTATAATATTTGAACCAGTCAAGATGCTTTTGAAAACTTAAAGTGTTTTCTATGTAAATTCTTATTAGTTTAACTGGGCTGTTTTTTTAATTTCCATTATTCTCAGTAGTGACTCTTATTGTATTCTCGGCATAAACTAAAGGCAGTAAAACCAATACTACCATGACACATTTAAAGTTTAATATTTTTCCACATTACGATGTTTCTGCATTACTGTAATGTCTTTTTTGTTTGATTGCTGTTAAGTTTTGTTCCTATGTTTTTCTATATGAGAATCAAAAATACCATAAATAGATTCAAAGATTCTAGAAATAAAAATAAAATGTGTATCATGATTTCCTCAAAATTACTGAGCAGCACAACACTGATAATAATAATAAATGTTTTTTGAGCATCAAATCATATTAGAAAAACTTCTGAAGGATCATGTGACACTGATACTGACCTCAAACTCAACTTATGCACATTTTATATTTTTTAATAAATAACCTTCCCTGGTAGTAGTAGTAGTAGTAATAATAATAATAAACTGAATAATTTTAAAGTTATTTTCTTTGACAAAATATAATATCTAATTTCTTTCTTAGGATTTTAGGATGAAGTATGATCTAGACATGTTGACATTTCAAGCAGCCGTCCTTACAGGCAAGAGCAGGGGGCAGTCGTCAGAGCGACACAGCTTGGTCACGCAGTGCAGAAAGACAGTGGACATTTTCTGGTTCTTGTGCTTGACAAAGCGGAACACCTCGAAGGAGAAGCGGCCCATCTGGCTCTTCCCATTCTCCAACACTGTTGTCTGCGGGTCCTTATCGCATCTGCTGGAACAGAGACAAGATGGACTTAGCATTCAGCCTCAGTTCTGCTTATATACCACACACATATGTGCAAGCACATTCACATATCTGCGGAAAACATGGAATTACCCAAAGAAAAGGTCGTATCGGAGCTCATCATTAGGATTCCCAGAGGGAGTTGTGTAACAGTAGTCCATCAGAACATTCCACCTGTGGGGAGTGATATGCGTGAATCAGTCACTGAAACGCAGGAGACTGGATACGAAATGGCCCTATAGGAGCAAGCCACTGTTATTTCATATAGAAGTCATGTGTCTTATCTCTACTCAAGGCCCATAATAATCTTTCCCATCCACTTTAGTGGCGCCCATTGCTGGCCCTAAACAAGGCCGGCATTGAGTCACTCAGCATTCTTCCTTTAATGGGCTAAACCAGTTCTGGATTTATCAGATATAAGAGAGGAGGTCATTTAGAGAAGTGCTTTAACAAAGCAGTGACACAGTCCAAAGACCATGTGTCTGTCTCAATTTACATTTGACCTCCATCAGATTTCATGGTTAACTCACCAATTAGACCGTTTCAGTATCATATCTGCAGTATGTTTTGCATTTGGGCCTCCTTGCAAGATACTTTTCCAAGATATGTTTGTGTAATTGTACTTTACCTCCTATCTAGGTTGGTGGCTTTTACTGCAGCAAACACTCGCGTCTTCAGAGTAAGTCCAGACACTGGGATGGCAAGATGATGGACATATGTGGAATCCTTAAACATTAAACACCACAGGTAAGGATTCCACACACATTTGCTCAAAAATCTTCAAAAAAATTTAACTATTTGCTCAAAATATATCATATTTTTATATATCTAATATTTAATAAAAATATAATTATTTATCGTATATATACACACTATATACACACACACACACAATAAAGTAATTAAATATATTCTTATTTTAAATTAAATATATTCTTATATTTTTATTAAGTATAGCAAAAAACATTAAACTATATATACACTATATATAAACTATATATATAAATAAATATTGTAAATAATTTAAGAAATGAATAATACATTTTTTTCTTCTTCTTATTATTATTATTATAGTAATTTATTTAAGAAAAGAACACTTTAGAAGCCTGTACTAGAAACAAGCAATATAGAAAAAAAACAAAAATCATCAAAATTATCTATTTATATAGAACTAAACAAATACTTAATTAGAAACTATGCTGATGTTCTATATATACTCACATTGTATAGAAGTAAATTCAGCGTGCTCACAAACGTGCCATTGTTGTCCTTCACTGATATCGCTGCAGCCGACCTTTGAACAAAAGAAGCTATTAAAACATGATAAATATATTTTGCAGGCCAATTAAAGTCTGAAAGGAAAACTTGTGTAATAGTTTTTCCTGATTTACTATCTGATGTCCTTGTAATCAACTCTGCATTAGGTTTTACAACATATTCGTTGTGCATACTAATTTAATTATGCCTCACAATTTAGCTCGTTAAAGCTTAACAATAAGTGCTAAACATTTTACAACAGGCAATTTGGGACTGTTTTATCTTCCATCGAAAAATTTTGAATAATTTAGCATGAATTAAAAAAAGGACACAATAATGCATTAGATTGAAATGCAATGCTATATATAACAGTGATGAAGTCGACTTACGAAGCAAGCTGTGTGTTGTTGACCAGGTATTCCAGAGGGTAACTACAACTGAACTTGTAAAGAAGTCCCGGTAGGTAGCTGATGACCGTCGGGGGATCCGGAGTGTCAATGTATCCTGCTATATTCCCAATCTGGACCAAGGAGAGATTCCCATAGGCGTTGGGCCCCTGAGCCGTGGTGACCTACAGACACAAAGGCACTAAGGTGTGATTGCTCTTCCTGAAACTAATGTACCTTCACCTCCCTAATCCTCAGCTCTTTTATCAATGCCAGATCTCTGCCGTCACCCAACCAAAGCTAAATCCACCTCACCTGCAGATGTTCTTCATTTATTACAGACAAATTGTCATAGAGAGAGTACTGTCTCTCCAAACACAAGCTGTAGTTTAGCATTTACTGTAACAAATGTGTTTTTCTTACTAACGACTGAACCTGAAATTAAAGTTCTGGGCCATTTAAGGGCTAATGTGAGTAAATCATTCTCTCATGGGTCAGTGCCCTCCATGTAGGCCTTTAAAAATGGTAAAAACCGGTTTCTTACCACAAGTGAGTTTCCGCAAGCCTCCAGCGTGCTGAGACTGATGCTGAACAGCACGACTGTTGGGAATGTGTTGTTGTTGATGAACCCTCTGCAGTGGGCATCGCCGTGACGCCCGTTCAGCGCCAGGTCAGTGTCGGTGTAGCCAGAAAAAAGCACCGGGCAAAAATTAATCTTCAGTGTTATGGTTTGCACTCCACAATACACGCTGATGTCCCGCTCAGCTGTTGAGAGAGAATAAAATATCATTAATTACATGTCATTGATTAAATGCTTGCCCAAAAAAGCGAGTGCTCACTCACCGGGGAAGCGGCTGTGGAAGCTGGCATCACAGTTGAACCCATTGAATTGCGCATTCACTATGAAAGTTTTACATGCAAGCAAAAGAATCACACACAAACGTTCCATTTCAATGCCTGAGGAAGACAATGTATGAGCAATTTCTTTGGATTCATCAGAAAATGCTTATTTTTCTGAAATGAGAGAAGAAATGCATGATTAGACTCACTTCAAAAGATAATTCCACTCTATTGTTCTGTAATTATGCTATTAAATTGGAAGAAAAAGACAGAAAATGAGAAATGCGATACTTTTGTTGGTGCTTCTGTTAAATTTGAAACCAATAATGAGCATAAATTGATCTGAAGTGCCATTACACAAAATCGGTGAACAAATCAACCTCAATTTATATATTCAAAAAGCTACAAATCTATCCAAACCGTTCACTTCCTGTAGGTATTTGTAAGTATGATGCTTTTACACCCTTACTTCACCCTGACCTCGTCATCTTGTGCCCTCCGTCTGCTCTAGCATCCCTCGCTCCGTTTCGGAAGACTCACCCGTTTCCCTGGCAGCTGTTGAATCAGCGGTACTCCATCTGTTCTCAGCTGCGACGCGAGACTGACTGGATTACCCAGCATCCCGGCAAAACCACTAGAAACACGGCCTTGCTCTGAGGAAAAAAAATAAACATAAGAGATTCATTATTTGAACACGTCAACAGCAAAAGAGCTGTCTGGGGGAACATGGGAAAGTCCATCAAAAGTGAATGTGTTATACAAATCCTTTCACGGGCCCAGAAACATGAGCAGGTTTTGAAGTTTCCCACTCATATCCTTTCTACTTGATCTTGCTTTGTCAGCGCTCACAAGTGGCCCCACGCCGCATGTGGTCTGCGAGGGGGCAATTATCTTTTCAACGGCTCCTGGACTGGGCTCATCACTGACTGAGCTGGCCTTTCTGTGTGCCAGGACGGTCTGGGTCGGGACCAGGATTGTCTGGACGCTTTAGATGCTTTGTTTGGCCCTGCTCAGTCAGCACTTCCCCAGTCGCCTCCCATGATGGTATCCCACCTGTCTAGCCGTGACCCCCCTTTCCGACTGCCGCTCTTGGCCTCGCGACGACGCCTCATGATTATCGGCTAATGTACATGAAAATCTATGTTACAAAAACGGTTTCTTCTGTGAATAAATGCCATTTCTAATCTCATATTATCTACATTATCGGCGTACTTCTAGTGATGAATGCTTGTTTCAACCTCTCCAAATTCACAGCAGACTAATATTTCATCAAATTAGCTGCCATTTTTACATCATTATTTTTCAAATGCCTTTAATCTGCATGATTAATTGCCTTAGAAATGTCTCTACAGTCCATCCTTGCGGCAAAAGGGGAAATTTGAATGATTTCATCGTCCGTTCTTACCTGATTAATCAAAGCTCAAGGCGTCCGGGCTGCTGGCCAGCTCCAACTGCAATACATCACCCAAAAGTCACTTGTCAATCTGTGCAAAATACAAGAAATCCAAAGGATGAGGATTTTCAAAACTATGCAATACCACCCCAAACTGCTGAAATCCTAAATCCAGCTTGGTTTTACAAAGACACGCATGGGATGAAGCTCTGAGCCCCTTCGGCTGGATTCAGCCGGTCTGACGAAGTTTGTCTTGCGTCTTGGACTTTCTTCAGATGGAAGGTATTGTGGGTAAAATGGAGCTGTTGGTCTATAGTGGGGCAATTCAGTACTTGCGATAAGTATCTCTATTTATGCGCTTCCAGCAAATGTCATTCTTTCATTTTTCACACCTGAATGTCTCTATATGGCAGGCTATAGTGGCGTTTATCAGTGTGACACAATCTCATTCACCGTGGCAAGATATCAGGGCAAGCATAACTATTACTTTCAGGATTTCCACGTGTTACATGTACTCTCTGGAATAGCATTTGAGAAAATGAAAAAAAAAAATTGAGCATGCTTTTGACATTTTTGTATCCAATTATTTTTTTTTAACTCTTTTTTTTTTATGTTTTGAGCCATGCACAACATAAAATATTTCATTTCATTTTTGGAAACCTGTGTCTTTGGACAGTTGAGGTCTTTTAAAACCTTCCAAAGGATGAGGATTTTCAAAACTATGCAATACCACCCCAAACTGCTGAAATCCTAAATCCAGCTTGGTTTTACAAAGACACGCATGGGATGAAGCTCTGAGCCCCTTCGGCTGGATTCAGCCGGTCTGACGAAGTTTGTCTTGCGTCTTGGACTTTCTTCAGATGGAAGGTATTGTGGGTAAAATGGAGCTGTTGGTCTATAGTGGGGCAATTCAGTACTTGCGATAAGTATCTCTATTTATGCGCTTCCAGCAAATGTCATTCTTTCATTTTTCACACCTGAATGTCTCTATATGGCAGGCTATAGTGGCGTTTATCAGTGTGACACAATCTCATTCACCGTGGCAAGATATCAGGGCAAGCATAACTATTACTTTCAGGATTTCCACGTGTTACATGTACTCTCTGGAATAGCATTTGAGAAAATGAAAAAAAAAAATTGAGCATGCTTTTGACATTTTTGTTTCCAATTATTTTTTTTTAACTCTTTTTTTTTTTATGTTTTGAGCCATGCACAACATAAAAGATTTCATTTCATTTTTGGAAACCTGTGTCCTTGGACAGTTGAGGTCTTTTAAAACCTACTTTAAATGTTCTTTAGTTAGCTATTCAAAATAATGGGTTTAAGCAGCATTTTTGAAGTTTTCAGCCATGCAAAAAGAAAAGCTTTTATTTTGTTTTATTGTATTATTATTATTTTATATTTGGAAAACTGTGCACTTGGACAATTTAGGCCTTTTAAAACCTTGTATAAATGCTTCTGAGTTAGCGATTCATTACTCAAATACTGGGTTTGGAACAATCACAGGATGGTTTTATAGTTACAAATAGGGCTGTGCAATATATCGAAATTATCGAAATATCGCAAATGTACATATCGCAATATGCATATCGCCACAGCTTGCAAGCTCTTGATACATACATACATACAAATAACCACATATATATGACACAGGATAGTTATAGAAGTTCACAGAACTGACTCAGCAACAGCTGAGTAAAACTGTTTCATCTGAGCATGTGGCACTTTAAGCATTATCGTATCGCATATCGAATATCGCATTATTTAATGAGTTATCGCATATCGCATTTTTTTTCAATATCGCACAGCCCTAGTTACAAATGTGTTTTGGGCTCAATTTAAACACCGAATGATGAAATGGTCTCGGCTCACATCTGAACTTCTAAAATCAAACCCACCAGCAGGAACTGTGTTTACGAGCACATTAAGAGCTTATCGCAACACAAAGGCTGTATCTGTTTTTATTTGCCTGGCATTTGGTCATGTTCTTGTCTCTTTATTTATCTGATGACTTTATTCAGAGCGCAATGAATAATGTGGGTCAGGAGGTTATGGTGAGAAACTCAGTAATACAATATAAAACCGACAATAATAGTGATGACAATGACATATCTAACCTTTCTTAAGGTCTTTAGTCTAACCAACAATAATATTTAACCATCCTCTATTAGCAAAATAATATCTGCATATCTTGTATCACAAATCAATCTATAGTTTCAGGTAAAACAAGTGACTCTTTTTTTTAACAGGGTACAAGTAATTACTGTTTTTCTACTAGCCGTGTGAAATGCATCAGCTGGCGGGCAAGAAGGTGTCAGACCCAGTGCATCAATCACTGCAGCCTGTAAGGAATTAGGAATGATGAGCAATCTGTCTCTGTTTGGTTGTCATGGCTATCCGGTGGATAGGATACATCTAGCCTGCTGAGAGAAAAGCAAAGAGGAATTTCAAACAAGGGAATACACTTTCGGTGGCCTTTTTGAAGTGCCATGAGGCATGTAAAAGCCACAAGTTTTGCTAATTGCCTCTGTCTCTCTCAAAGAATCTGCTTGCTTTGCTGTTTAATTGTGCCATGTTTATTCGTAAGGGTTTTTAACTGGAGGCACAGTCGATTTAAACTTCTTATGATGTAAATTTGATTTGAAATCTAACTGGAATGATTTTAGGCCACTAATTGGATGTTAATGTTGCAATTCAGTCGAGATTAGAAAGACTTTGTTGGGACTGACTCAAAGTCAAGTTCGACAAGACATTATGAGCAGACGAAAAATCATTTTAATACAGATGGATCTGAAATACCAACATTAGGACAGATAACACAGCTTAAATAGTTTCACTATATTTTATAATACTTCTAATATGGAAACAAGTTAGCTGTGTGGCGATAGAGAGATGGAGTGTGAAAAAAAGAGAGGGAGAGAGTGGGAAAGTCTGTCAATGACAGGTGTTTGGCCCTGTGTCGGGCACAGCGCAGATGAAAATGCCTTTTCTCTTCTCGGTAGATTGTATTGTCTGTCACAGGAGCCAACTTAGTTACCTCCTAACAGTTTTCCTGTCAGCAAAGGGAACATCACTTGTCATCTATATAAGCCCTCATCCAACACAAAAACAGTTATATCTGCTGGTGAATGGGGTCATATAGCACATGCTATATAGAGAAAAAAACATATCCATGTTGAGAATCTGACATCTATGTCACTTTTCTCCTCACACCCTTTTAATGACCCATTTTGTGACCCTTTTTAGTTGTTTTTTAAGTAAATCTGTTACTTAAAATATTCATATTAGAAATTCAGACGTTTTTAATAAAAATGACTATAAGCTATTTGAATAATATTTGTGAAATTGTGTTTAATAATCGGTAGAGGATTCTTGAAACTTAAAAATGCTTGAAGAATTTTTTTAAAAGCCAGAATGAATAAACAATATTAATAAACATTTGAATGTGTTAATGTGAATTAATTCAATTTATCATATCAAATGATTCATTGATTGATTATTTTATAATTTTCTAACTTTTTTAAAATTTATATATATATATATAGTTTGAGGAAACTATTGTGCATGTGAGAGAGCTGTGCGGGATTAAACAGACAGAAAAGCTGTGTTTCTGGTCCCAGGTGGCAGAAATCACAGGATGCCTTGTTTTTTATGTGTGAAACACAAGCCATGTTGTATTCAGACCTGAGGGACACACCTTTTCATTATGAGCCATA